TCCTGACCTCCAGAACTGTAAGAGAAAGTTTTCTGTTCTTTATAAACTACCCAGTCTCAGGTATTCTATTACAGCAGTGCAAAATGGAGTAAGACAGGGTGGACCCTAAATCCAATGACAGGTGTCTTTCTACGACAAAGGCAGAGAGGGACGTTGGAAACACAGAGACACGTGGAGAAGGAGCGAAGACGGGGCAGGGACTGCAGTGATGCACCTGCAGGGCGAGCAACACAAGGCTGGTCTTTTTTTTTGAAATCTTTCTTGTAAAGCTGTGTCCCCTGCCCATGGCCACTGTTGGTCCCAGTCCCATCACTTCACAGCCAGTTAGGGCCACAGTCTTCCGCATTCGGGTGTCTCCTCCCTCTGATCTAGACTACACACTGCCTTCAGATGATTTTGCCTGATGCTGCATCCTGGTTCCAAACATCTGATGTTTCCCCCATCAACTCTTAACCTCTTCGTTTAGCATTCCTGGATTTCTGTAGTCACTTGCTATTCAATATATCCAGTTTATCCCTCACTACAGAAAATCTGCTATCTGAATGGTCTCCTTATTCACTTTCAATTTCATTTTATTAGTAGATCATGTGTTCACATGGCTCAAAAATAAAACAGCACAAAAAGTGATATAGTGAAAAGTCCCCTTCCCTCCCCTGCTCCCATCCTCTCTGTTCCCCAATGTCTCCCCACTCTAAAGAGTTTCTGGCACATGCTTTATGGTCTTTTGTGCAAATATAAGCAAGTACAATTATATTTTCTTATCAGCCTCCCGCCTTTTACACAAAGGGGAGCTTACTATATTCCAGATATTTCTATTTCTATATCAGTATACAAAGAGCTTCCTTATTTATTTTTTTTTCTTACTCTCTTAACCTTTGTAAAAACTACACAGTGTTCCTGAGCATGGAGTACCAACATTTATTTACCTGTTCCTACCTGTTGGATGCATAAGTGGAATCCAACCTTCTGTTAGTATGAACAATGCCTCAATGATTAACCTTGTACATACACACATTTTGTGCATAGGTGACCACAGTCTGCAGGGCAAGTTCCTAGAAGGGGTGCCTAAGTTTTTCTCCATCGTGCTAGATCCCCTTTGCTTTGGTACCACCTACAGGCCTGGGCCTTTTGGCCAGGGGCCTGTCACCCTCTCTTGGCTCCTTGGAGAGATTAATTCCATAAGACAGTTGGAATAACTGGTATATGGTATGCATAACTCACGGGACACGATGAACACTTTTTCTGCCATCTCTTTTATCCAGTAGAAAGTATCTTCACTTGCCCCAGATGAAAACCCTAATAAGCCTGTATTAGTTTCCCAGAGTTTCTGTAACAAAGTACCACAAACTGGGTGGCTTAAAACAACAGAATTTTGTCTCACGGTTCTGGAGGTGAGAAATCAAGGTGGCTCTCTGAAGCCCTTGGGGAATCCTTCCTTGATTTGATAAGGAAAACCCCCATCTATTACTTGGCAAATCAGGGGAAGACCCGCATCAGCATAATACTAACCTGTTACCTGGCCTATCAACTAATATATTACCTGGTGCATCAACTACCCTACTACTTGGTGCATCAGCATAACACTAACCTACTACCTGACAAATCAACTAACCTATTACCTGGCGGGCATTAGTCACCTGATATCCCACCCCTTGGACCATCCCAACTTAATAAAAGTGGGAAAATCAGGTAGATACGGCTCAGAATTTGGTGGCAAGACCCCTCTGAGCGCACCGGCGAATAAACTTTGATTCTCTGATTCTCCGTGTGCTGCTCAGTTTGTCTGTCTGTCGGAATCTGTCGGAAACAGATTCTTCCTAGCTTTGGCGTTTGCTGAATCACTCCACTCTCTGCCTTTGTCACCACGTGGCGTTCTCTGTGTGTCTCTGCCTTCACATGTCCCTCTTCTTATAAGCACACCAGTCACGTTGGATTATCTCATCTTAACTAACTACATCTACAAAAACCCTATTTCCAAATTAGGTCACATTCTCAGGTACTGGGGGTTAAGACTTTAACATATATTAATATTTTTTAGGGGGAAACAATGCAACTCGTAACATAGGCCCAATACTTTTCTGCTCATGTTGTTAATAGGTAGGGGACAATCTTAGGGACAACTTTAAAAGAAACTCATTCTCAATTCAGGACCTAGTATGTCCAGTCCTAGATGTTTTTTAGTCCTTTAACCTCCAATCCAAGGCCAGCTGTGGTCAGGGCTGGGGCTGCCGGCCTGCAGAGGGGGTGTGGCTGACGGTTCCGCTCCCTCTGCTGGCCTTGGTGCCCTTCGGAACTCCCCACCAGGGGAAGGGGAGTGGGGCTGGTGGGCGGATGGGACAGGACTGACCAGGCTGGGAAGCTGTGTGCTCTCAGGGCCTGCCATTGCTTGTCTTTTTCTTCCTATCAGTATTTTTGGAGTTTCTCTGGAGATTTCTACCTTGGGTCTCCTAATTCTGGTGAATGTCGCTTAATTTTGGGAAGTGACTTGTAACTTCTTCAGCCCCTAGAAATCCAGCATTCCTTCCTCTGTGTCCCTTAGGCAGCTCTTTTTAAAAATCTTTAAAAAATATTTTTTAGAGACAAGGTCTTGCTCTGTCATCCAGGCTGGAATGCAGTGGCATGATCATAGCTCACTCTAACCTCAAACTCCTGGGCTCAAGGGGTCCTTCTGCCTCAGCCTCCCAAAGTGCTGGAACTACAGGCCTGAGCTACCAAGCTCAGCCATAGTCAGTCCTTTTTGAAACGACCCTAAATGATCCAACACCAGCTCTTTCCCAACTCCCCTATGGCGGCTATCTGGTTCAAGGATCCCTACAAGGAAAGCAGGTGGGGACGGGTGGAGGGCAGCAGCATGCTCCCAGCCTTGCCACCAGGCCAGTTGCTCAGCCCATCTCTTCTCTCCATTTCCTAGGCAAGGTCAGACTCATTCATGAAGTCCCCCAGACACATGGACTCACTATCAAGCTCTCCAAGTGGATTGACTGAGCTGCTCGCTGGGCTTCTCCTGGGGGTTGGAATCCTCATGGTGAGATAAGGGCTCTCTCCAAAGAAATCTCACCCCAGTCCTTCTTTTACTCTCTGCCATGTATTTCCTCGCTTTGGCTCTTGGACTGAGGGACCAGCTCATCATCACTTCCTTTGTGGTTTTGTGGTGTGCAGATCTTTCTCACCCTCCCTTTGTATCTGATATATGTGTAACAGTCTTGACACCTCACAGAGGATTCCCATTCTAGTATTCTCTTCTCATGTGCCAGAACACTGACCATAAATATAACAAAGCAGTTATTTACAAATTCTCTCTCTCTGCCTTTTAAAGAAGGCGGATCCTCAAAAGTGAAGGGCTTTTAAAAAGTTTTAGTTTTCTTTAAAAAATAAACTTTATTTTTAGAATAGTCTTACATTTATAGAAAACTTGCAAAATAGTGTAGAGTTCCCATAAACCATTTTCCTGTTATTTGTTTCTTAGATTAGTATGGTGCACTTATCACAATTAATCAATGAATATTGATACATTATATTTATATTATTGACACATACTTTATTCAGATTTCTTGCATTTTCTCCCAATGTCCCTTTTCTGGTCTGGGATCCCATCTAGGACATCACTTACATGTAACCAGCAGGTCTCCTTACGCTCCACTTCCTCACATTTCTTGTTTGATGACCTTGTCCATCTAAATAACAGCAAGAGGCTTTCTAAATGAAAATATTTATTTTAGAATAGGACATTGCAATGGGAATATGTGTGCCACAGCAAACTATGTGTGTATTCAGAGAGGTAAAGAAAAACAAAGGCTTTTAAAGAAAAAATGAGGAGGATTACATAATTGTTTTGAGATAATTCTCCTTGGCCACAAGAGTCAATAACAAGGGTGATATCATTCCAAGGCTGTACAGGCAGTTGTTAGGTAGATGTCCTTGTAAAAGTATTTTTGTGTGTGTAAGGTTGTGTTTTTTGCAGTCTTTTGTGATATTTTTGTTATCAGGCTGTTAGGGACAGAAAAACAAGTGAGGTAATGGAAATTGGAAAAAGAGAAAGGAGAAAGCAGTTATAGAAGAACAAGGAGAAATAGCTGCAGAAAAATAAAAGAGGAAATGGTTATTTCAGTCTTAAAGAATAGGATAACTAGGTTATGGAACACTGACTACCAGGCAGAGAATGGAAAAAAACAGGTTAGGCACTTCCCTGCCATATGTATAGTAGAAAGAATGACTGAAACATAACCTTTATGTCATGTCCATACCTGGAAAGAATTCAGTGCCCAAAGCAGCGATGTACAGTTATGAATAGTTATAACTAACCTTTACCTAAACATAAATGTAAAAGGGAAAACACAGAAGTAGACAGAGTCTTCTCCACTCACTGGGACAGTCCCATTTCCCCTTAGGAAATGTACTTTCCCTTTGCACTCTTGAACTTTCCTTACAATAAATTCTTCACGCACACTGGCTGAGTGTCTGTCATCTCCCTCTGACAAGTGGGCCAAGGGTTGTGATTCTTCCAAGTCCGGAGCCCAAGAACTGGGGGAACACTTTAAAGTTCAGCGGTGAACAGGGCCATGAGGAGACCTACATATATAAGAATGCTTCTCTTTGTTGCCTTCCCTGGGCTTTGCCAGTTTTGTTTTGTATTTTTAACCACAAGTGACTCCATTTTGATTCTGACAACTTTCACAACCTTGACAATCATAAGGTTAGCTATTTTGTAGAATGTCCCTCTGCTGGGATTTGTCTGATGTTTTCTCACTATTAGATTGGGTTATGGGTTTAGGGACTATGGTATAATAAAAAATATATTTGTTTTTTGTCTCCGGTTCTCAGCACAGAGCTCCCGAATCCCTTAGAAATTCCTGAAATATGTGTCTTTGTTATTTAGGAGTCCCTTTTAATCTAATCTGAGTTTATGCTAATGAGGTGATTACTGGTGGGCTCAGGGATGGAATCCGGATGGGGCTGGTGACCAGAGGAGCCAACCCGGGGATCAGACGGCTGTGACTTTCAGCCCCTCCCCCACTTTAGGGAGGGGACAAGGGCTAGCGATTGATTTTAATCACCAGTGGCCAATGATTTAATCAATCGTGCCTTTGTAATGAAACCCTGAGAAAAGTCCGTAAGCAGCAGGGGCCAGATTGCTTCCAGGCTGGCCCGCGCAGGGCGTGGGAACTCCATGCTTGCCCTACGCACCTCTCCCCTTGGCTGTTCTTGAGTGGTGTCCTTTATCTGGAAATAGTAAGTCGAGTGCTTTCCTGAGTTCTGTGAGTTACTCAGGGAATTACTGAATCTTTCAGCTTCTAGTGGGCGCGGCAGAAATGTGGGTGGCCTGGGCGCCCCACTGTGGCTGAGCCCGTCACCAGTGGGGTCGGTGTCAGAATCGAACCGCTGGACACCCCGTTGGTGTTGGAGAACTGGGGAATTGGACGTTGCTGCTAGAAAAGACATCGCGGCGCGTGGGGTCAGGAGGAAGAAGCCTGCGGGGAGCAGGACCGGGGAGAGAGAGCGCAGCGCCCCTACTCTGCTGAGCTCAGTGAGATACTGATCCGTGAGGCCGGGGTGCACAGCCGAGGGGCGAGCCTGGAGGCAGGACAGCAAGGACAGTAGAAGAGGTACGTCTGCGCGGGCGGCGTGGGCGAGAGAAGGCTGCTGGAAGAGAGGCCGGAACCGGCTCTGGGCGAAACCCGCTGCAGCCCCCAGGGCGCTGCGGCCGCTGGCGCAGCAGGAGGCCGGGCCGGCAGGTGCTCCTGCGCAGTGCGCGGGCTGCGCGGCCGGGCCGCCGCCAGGGGGCGCAGTGCGCCGGGGACTCGCGCGCGACCACCCCGCTGAGGAGACGGCCGAGTTGGGCTTCAGAAGTAAGTCGGGGCGCGGCGGGCCTGGGCGGGGGTCGCGCGCTCGCTCTGGAGACTGGGGTTAGGCGGTGAGGGTCTGGCAGTAGCGTCCGGGTCGCTGCAGGCGGAAAGGTCGTATCCTCGGTCTGGGCCGCCGGGTTGCAGCAGGGATGGCCGGAAGGCCGGCTGTAGCCCCCGAGAGGAGGCGGGCCTTCCGGTAGGGCCGCATGAAGGGGCTCCCCGGCTCCGGGGCAGCGCCGCCTTCCCACGCCTCTCGCGCTCCTCCCCGCGGGTCCCCGGTTGGCTCGGTCCGCTCGTCAGTGCGCACGCGCGGCCATGGCTGCCCCTGCTCCTCAACCCGGCGCCGTCGCTCCCGCCCCCGCCTGGTCCCTGACGCTAGTGTCGCGGGGACAGAACGGCACGCACCCACCCGTGGCGGGAAGACGGGTGAATTTCTCTAGAACCTGGGTGGGGAAAGGCTTTCTAGTGACCAAAAGCCTAGACTCTAGAAAAAAAAATTGACACATATGATCACATTAAAAACAAAAACTGTCGCATACTGTCGCACGCGCGCGCGTACACAGGCACACACACGTGCACGCACAAATCTCATACTATAAGTAAAAGACAATTGGCAAACTGGGAAAGAATGTTTGCAACATATGTCGCAGATGACTGCTTAATATCTCAAATATGTGTATGACTCTTAAAGATTGAGGGAACCAATGACCAAAAATCCAATTTTAAACTAGGCAGAAGGCATTGGGGACGGAAAAAAGAAATTCTGCCAAATTCCGAGGCTGCAGTGAGCTATGATATAGCCACTGCACTCTAGCCTGGGTAATAGAGGGAGACCTTGTCTCTTAATCAAGCAACAACAAAAAAACCACCTAACGAGATTTTTGGTTTATAGGGCATGTGACTCAACAGGCCTCTTAGAAAGGAATTTGGGCAAGAGAAGAAAAAGACCAGAGTTCAATCCTCAACATGAACCAACAGTCTTCACAAAAATGACATAAAACCGGCCCTTAAACAAACAAAAAGATGTTCAGTTTCTTGCTTAATAAGAGAAATCCACACAGTGCTCTGAGTTATCACTTCTATCTAATTTGTAAAAAGTGAAAGGCAGTAGGCTGTGCTGTGGGGACATAGGTGCTCTCATATGCTGCCCGGGGGAATCTGCAAGATGGTACAACTCCTTTAGAGGGGAATTTGGCAATATCTACAAAGCAACATATACATTTACCCTTGACCTAGCAATTCTACAGCTAGGACTTTACCCTGAGGAAACACTTACGCCAATATAAAAGTATATATGTGTGTGTACATACATGCACAAGGCCACTCATTGCAGCATTGTTTGCAAAGGCAAAATTTTGGAGACAACCTCAATGCCAATACATAGGCAATTGGTCGAAAAAACTCTGGTACATACACACAATGCTGTACTAGGTGGTGCGGTTATAAAAAAGATTGAGGAAAATCTCTATGATCTGATACAGAGTGATTTCTAGGATATGCAGTACTGATAAATGAACAAAAGTTAAATACAAAAGGGCACTAACTATAGTGTGCTATTTTTGTGTAAAAAATGGGGAAATAGTAAAATATTCATTTTTTCCTTATTTTTGCAAAAATAAGAAAAGAAAAGGAAACCGAGGAAGAAAAAATTAGAAACTAATAAGTTGGTTGCTTGCAGTGGGTAGATGGGAAAGGGGTAAGTCCAGGAGGAAATGATACCTCTACACATGCCTTTTCTGGGTAGTTGTGACTTTTAGAAACGTGAATATTTTAGTGTTTAAAAAGTAAAATTAGATCAACAAAGATGGGGGAAAAGAAACATAAAATTGCATATAAGCAGAAGTGAACAAATACACTAAACTGTGTAGTAAATTAACCACAGAAAGGTAAACCCAAGTAACCCTGTACGTAGGTCTTTGACTATATAGCTTCTATATGTAAACAAGCAAACAAAACTACAGAGAAATTTTGAATGTAGTTGGTAGTGATCTGGTGTAGCAATTCTGAAAATACTTTCTGTGTATTATAGGATTAAGCAAATAAGTACATATAATGATATTGGAAGCCAGGACCCTCACTGAGAGAGAAAGGGATACACATATGAAGTGAGGGAAGGCAAGGGAGAGCTCTGTGGATTGGAATGGGAGGCTTTTTGTTTTGATTTGTTTTAAGAATTTATTTCCTAGATTTGTCTGCTGAGAGAGCCTGGGAGCAGGGCCACCCCAATAGCAATGAGCATTCCTCGGGCTGTATCTTGGTTTCTCAATACCATTGTCTGTTAAAAGGAGTCCGAGCTCCTTGGAGAAATGGCTCATTCAGGGAAGGGCAGGGAAAGTGAAAGATGAGCTAGGAACAGCTTGTGCCAGAAAGCAAGGAGGTGCCCAAAGAATGGTAGAGATAGGTCAAAAGGACACAGGGCTCCAGTGGCCAAACTCCGGACAAGTTGAACATGGAAATGAATAATGACAATAATGAATTATCACATTGAATAAAAGAGAATCCATGAGTCGAGAGTGATACTAAAAAGCAAATAAACTTACTAATAAATAAATCAATAAAGGTAAAAGGGACTCTTCTTTACAGTAGAATGCAAACTAATGAATGCGGAAGGAACAGTAGAGTTAGGAAAGTTGCCGTATTTCTACTATTGCAGTAATAACTGATTCAGGCAGGGATAGATAATGGAGGCTAACACTACTGGGTGAAAGCTTATTGGGTGTCTTAGTCTGTTGCAGGCTCCTGTAACAGAATACTGAGACTGCGTAATTTATAATGAACAGAAATTTATTTGGCTCCTGGTTCTAGAAGCTGGGAGGTCCAAGATTGAGGGGCCACATCTGGTGAGGGCCTTCTTAATGTGTCATCCCATGGTAAAAAGTGGAAGGGCAAGAGAGAGAAGGGAAGCAGACTGAACTCATCCTTGTATCAGGAGCCTCTCTGAAATAATGGCATTCATCCATTCACAAGGGCAGTGGCCTCATGACCTAGTAGTCACATCTTAAAGGTCCTGTCTCTCAACTCTGTTGCATTGGGGATTAAGTTTCCAACACATGAACTTTGGGGGACACATTCAAACCATAGCATTGGGGAATAAGATACTATAGTCTCAAAGAATCACTCCACAAATTATTTATTAATTACAAAAGTGAGAAAGGAACCTTTATAGTGGAGAAGTAGATACCACCTTAGTCATGGATCAAAGTCAGCATCACCAAAAAGGACTGAACTGACATCATGTGCCAAAGATGCATAACCTGAATTGGATCATGAAGAAACATCAAACTCAAATCGAGAGACGAGCCACAGTGTCACAGGGCTGACTTTTAAAAGATGTCAATTTCATGAAAGACTAAGGTACTGTTTCAGATTAAAGGAGAATTAAGAGACATGACAACTAAATGATATGTGTGTCCTTAAATTGGGAAAAATAATATTGCTAGAAAGGATATTACTGGGATAATTGGCAAAATGTGAATATGGATGGAATAGAAAGTATTAGCATTGGATCAGTACTAATATCTGCATTTGATCGTTGCAATGACACATTTTCTGAATTTCATCATTGCAATGTGGAATATTCTTGTTCTTAGGAAATATACCTAATATGCTTAGAGGTGAAGGGTCATAATTTCTATAACTTAATCTCAAATGATTCCGTAAAGAAAAAGTCTGTGTTATACCTTGTACCACTGAGTAGATATATAGTAGTTCCCCCCTTCTCTGCAGTTTCGCTTTCCACGGTTTTAGTTACCTGTGGTCAACTGCAGTTTGAAAATATTAAATGGAAAATTCTAGAACAATTCATAAATTTTAAGTTGTGTGCTGTTCTGAGTAGCGTGATGAAATCACTGGTCATCCAGTTCTGTCCCACCTGGGTTGTCAATCATCCCTTTGCCCAGCGGATCCATGCTGTATACACTGTCTTCTCTTTAGTCACTCAGTAGCCATCTCAGATATCTGATTTGTCCTGGTATCACAGTGCTTGGGTTCAGGTAACCCTTATTTTACTTAGTTGTTCTATTTTATTATTAGTTGTTAATGTGATACTGTGCCTAATATATAAATTAAACTTTATCATAGGTATGTATGGACAGAAAAAACAGTTCTGTGTAAGATTCAGTACTGTCTGTGGTTTCAGGCATCCACAGGGGTGGGTCGGGGGAGGGCGGGGGGTGTCTTGGAATGTACCTCCTGTGGATAAGGGGGCACTATTGTACCATAATTTGCTTAATGTGTTCTTTATTGAACATTTAAAATTTTCCAATTAAAAAATCATGCATAAACAATGTTGCTATTTAAGTCTTTACTATAATTTTTCACTTTGTTGCTATTTTTAGGGTAAATGCCCAGAGTTAGGAATACCAAATTAAAGATGTACACGTTTTT